CAGACACGTCGGAACAGAAACTGGCCGAATTTCTGGGGTTGAGAGTGCTAGCACCCCTCCTGCCGCGAGAGAAGAAGAGGGATTCCTTCCTGGTCGTTTGTGGAGTCGTACAGAGTGTCAAGAAACCGTAGGGCGTTTCCTTCTTGGGTACATGGAGGAGAGACATTGCAAGTTTATAGCCTGGATCGGTGGAATCGCTGTAGGACTGTCTGTCCATTGCACGGAGCCTAATTGACATTTGTTCTGCTGCTGATTTCCGACCCCAAAAACGGTAGCTATCCAAAAGCCGCCGGCCGGGTGATGCCGTTGTGGGAGAAGGTGGTAGGTCTTCCGTTGGCTTCGACTCGTTTGAAGGAAACCTACGGTACGCTGTGCAACGCTTAAACGGAGACAGCAGGATGGGGCGGCTGTTCCCAGGAATTACAAATCTAGGGACATTTTGCGGGGTTAGCATCGGGCTATCCATAGTATGCAGGTGTCTGTGCGGGCACTCTCAACACGAACTATGTTTTTGGGGGTTGTGTTCCCAATTCCTATTTCGGATTAGTTTTGTTTATCCGTAAACAAATTTTGCGTGAAAGTTCTTAGGAATTTCGAAACCAGTTTGTAACGTGTTATGCAACCAGCTTTTGTCATCGTCTGTTAACTTTACTCTGATGGAGCAAAGAGTTCTATGCGCTTGCCAAGACTTTACGTGTGCTTATAAATGCTGGCGTGATCAGCTCCCTCGGCCGCCGGTGAAACCCTGATGGGGGAGGGGTTGTTTGTCAGGTTTCTTCTAATGAGGGAAAACTTTGATCTTCAAAGGTCAGTCGATGTCATTATTCAGGTAGAGTTTTATAATTGGGGGACGCGACAACGACGTCTGAAATACGTCCAATTGCTTTCATTCATTTTTATACGCAAATGACACCAGTGTCTTTCATGGTGACAAAAATCTCGTTTCCCTCTATGAAATAATGGTAGTCAGGAAGGACCTGGTTAATATAATGTGACTCGTTCAAAGCAACTGTTTATCCCTCAGTTTATCTGAATGCAATTATAAGTTAATTTTAGAAACAATAAAAGATACAGTAATTCATCAAACCTTACTGTTGTGTTTAAAGATAACACATTTCATTCAAAAGAATGCAACAAGTTTGGATTTTTTGTCATCTCTCAAACAAGTGAATTATGCTGGGTGTCCGGCCAAAACATTAAGCATTTTTTCTCCCAGTAGCGGTCAGATATTATTGTTTTTGCATCGAACTGAAGCTGTGATATGTTTCAAAACTCGAGACCTCATAGATCCGATGACTGCATAATCTCTATTACAGAAGACGACTGTTGTTTGGGTCTGGAAATTACCATGGCAATCGAAATGTTACGTTTACGCCATTTGGACAATTTTTTCACAAGAGAATAAGGATACTGAACTGAACAGGGTTGTGTTGAGTTATAGCGCCTCTTTTATTTCCCATCAACAAATAGGACCCTTAAATTTTTCAAAGCGGTTAGTACTACAGACGTATGCGGTAAATGAGAATAGCACCTTGTTACAAATTGAATGAGGTAAATTGGACAAGTTCAATTGAAGTTGTTTTCTCTGAAACAAACCCATTAAACTCTTGAATTCAGTGACGTTAAACAGTGACGTAAAAAATGAGTTGTTTTATGTAATCGAAAGTATCTCAACGGAAAATCACATCACAAAATGAGATCCAAGTCTTCTTCGATGAAGTAGAAAACACTGAACATGTAAGGTCTGATTTGATGCTACTTTCCGAGAAAATGAATGTTACGCGTGGGTTGCGTTTCCTGGGAACATACTGTACATTGTTACATGCAGCGAGTCACTCGAGGTACGTATCTGACTTTATTTCTGTCTAAGATAGATATGTATAATAATTAAGCCCTTGATTATTATATTATTGATGGAGTTACATTCGCCCTACACTTGAATATGGTGCAGTGGTGTGGTCTTCGGGTCTCACTTTTAACCAAGATCAAACTATTGAAAGAATTCAGAAGAGTGCACTTTGCATATAAATCCTTTACCCAAACATCTTACCATATAACGATGCTCTCAATTTTTTGAACATCCAATCACTTTCAGACAGACGTGTTGACGTCACCATTCAATTTGCCAGTCTTGCTCACCTCTGAAAAACACCGTCACATGATTCCCAACCCAAGACTCTTTCTCACCAAACGAAATCTCAGGAACTCCAACCATCTTACCACGCCCCGAATCAGTACTCGAAGACATAAACAATCTCCTGTCCCCTCTATAATCAGATTAATTAATTCCCAGTAGTTGTGGTTTTAAGGTGTTCATACGTTCTTTCTCTTATCATTTTTCTCTATTTTAATTACCCAAATTTTATCTATAATGTAAGTCACTGCTATTTTTTGAAACTATTTATATGCATGCAATGTCTGGCAATCACTGTAAACATTAATTATCTCTGTAAATCAAATATTTCTAGTCCTTGGACTTTTTCTTTGGTCACCATCTTCTCTTAACAATAAAACCTAAATAAATGAATAAATAAATGAATAAATAAATGAACGAACGAACGAACGAACGAACGAACGAACGAACGAACGAACGAACGATCGATCGATCGATTGATTGATTGATGAGAGTAAAGTAGCATCTCGCTCTTTCCTATTTTGAGGGTTCAGTTTTGGTTTTGTAATGTTTGGAAAGAGTAACCCGTCTTCTATTTAATTCCAAATATTTCACAGGATCATGTAATTTAAAGATGTCAGTTTCTCAGCAATTATGACGATAGCATTATCCGCGCCTGGTCTGAAATAGCGAAAAAATGCCGGGAACAAAGACGTAAAGCTGCCAGAATAATGTCACTTTGTCACTTGATACTTCTACCCTGGGTGTTCCATGTGGATACCACTAGGAATATCGTTTTTCTCCTTGTAGGCCTACTTTGTGTTCGTCGATAGACGAAATTGTTTTTTGTTCTGCGTTGTTTTTTGGTGGAGGGGTTGGACCACTTTAAATATATTCCTGGTTATTACTTTGATATCACAAACATGTTTTGGCTAGGCTTCGCTGAAACACGAACCGTGGTCAGTGGTGTAACTACGGGGGATGGAGCAGGCCCCAGCGGGTACCCGGCCACTGGACCCCCCCTTGAAATCTATGAATAATCTTCGTTGATATGCAGCTTCAGCTTACTTTCTTGTGGTGCCCCTTAAAATAAACGTGTGCACCCCCGGGTGCCCCTGGACATTTAGCCCTAGTTACGCCACTGAATTTTACGCACCACTACTGCGGTGGCGCAACATTTGTGAGCAGGTGGTATGTTCACGCGTTATAGTGCCTCTGGCTGCGTCCGAATCTCTTGTCTAGAGCTAGGTCTAGGTCTTCGCTCCATTGGAAATGCGTGGAGACGCGCAGACGATAGACCTAGCCGTAGCTCTGGAAGGCCGTTTCGGACACGGCCTATGCAACCAATACACCGTGAGCTAAAGTGCACCCCCAATCGGCGAAAGAAAGGTAGATGGTTACAAGCGGGTTCTTGCACGCTTTCTGCGTGTACGCAAAGACCATACATTCCGCAATAAAATCGTTGCGCGCGCACTCAGTGTGCTCCGCATCAAACGCGCACACTTCCCCGCCTATGTGGAGATTTGGAAGCAAAAGGAACGTCAATTTCTTTTACACACATGCTCTCTTTAGTTCCGCTCGGATGGCGTGCCTCGATTCGCGTTAATGCTCACCTCTAAAATGTGGCGCTTCTGTAGTTGCAGAGTTTCCTCGGATGTCCCCGTATGTTTGCCTGCACGTAAATAATGGCCTCCTTATACAAAGGTACGGCTAACGAGCTCTCGTTAGACCGAATTTGAGCAATGACAATTGACAATCTCTATCATGGGACCCCACCCTTTAACAAATAATGACTGCCCTTTTCTCAAGAGGGGCAGCAAAGTTCGCAGAATTTCTTTGCCACAAAATGCACATTTGCTCCATTATTGTTTAAGAGGGAAGTGTTTTCTATTTGGTATTTGATGTTAAAGCATTCAATTATTCAGTGTTTGATTAGCTTTGGGTGTGGATGTGTTGTGTGGGTATGCTAAGCTTACATTCCTATTGTGGACCTCAGAACAATTTCCCCCACTCAGACAAACAATATTCTAAGGTCTGGGCAAAATGATGAAGAATTGTCCCGGAAATCATCAAAAATCCAACTCAAATATGTGATCATAGTGGGAGAAAATCAGCATTTCCTCTCATTTTTCTAAACCACCGAGACAACGGTATTTCTACACCAACCACTGGTTGAAAAAAAGTGCGACTGTGGCAGGTGGATTGGTGGTCTCTAAATGGAAACAAAATATGACGGAATGCCAGACGTGAAATGTGTAACAAACGTAGATAAGGTAAATATAGTTTGAAAGATAAGCCTTTCCACTCTAAAGGAAGACATCAAACGTCCAATCCGATAGTTTTTGAGAGTTATGAGTAATTTCCTACAGGTCAAATTAAGTGATAACTGATTTACTCACTAAACATATTTTTGTGCGCCAGGCAATTACTCACAGAGGCAATCAGGCTACCCATGGTCAAATTGACCTCTCATGGAAAATAACATAATTGAAAAGGATCTACACTTGTATTATTTTTAAACTGATCAGCCATTGTGAGTCGGCGCCACAGTTGCTAGCAAATTTGATTTCAGTTCAGACATCTGATAGTCGAACTTAAAGTGTGACGCAGTGAACCTCATTTATCCTAACATCCGTCCCAAGGCTAGTCAGGCAAATTGTGATCGTATTGTACTGTTTACGCCCCTCGTCTGTGAACAAGACAGCCACTTTACTTGAAAAAAATATTGAAGAAGGGACATTTTAAATCCAAATAACTGACTGATTTACTTTGGGTGAATTTTTACACGTAATGTATTTTTATAAACCGTTTTGACACTTTAGTGTAAAACTTTACTGAAGAATAAATTATCCATTACATTTAAATAATCAGACCAAAGAAAAGCCGATTTTTGCCGGTTATTAAGAATGTTTATTGATCACTGAATCCAAAACTTTGAGAAAATGTTTCTGATGAAAACCAAGATGGGAAGTGGTTCTTAGAATTACACGACTGGAGTCAAAAAGGACTGCATCTCTCCAATCTGATTGGGGTGAAACATTTAAGCAATAAGAGTTTAGTACTCTACTCCTTAAAGTAGGCCTTTCTGTGTCTGAATCGTGCACGCCAGTCTTGCCTCAAGCCATGTTGATCTCCATGAGAGTTACAGGGTGCGGAATATGACCCAACCCAGTAAGCATCAGATCAACTACGAAATTAAGGACCACAAGATCGGAATGATGCCACAGTGGAGAAACAAACTCATTTTCTTCTCAATGCAAAAGAAAACACCAAAAAGGCCTCATGAAATAAAACTGTTACCTTCCTAGCTTTTAAGTGTTAGGACATTTTATTTCACATCCTACATGTATAACCAACACAAAAATATCCAGCAAAGTCACAATGCACAATTGCAATACTGGGAGGCGAATGTGTAAATAGTAATGACAAACAAGTTTTGAAATCGAATTTGTAAATGCCAGACAATTATTGTTCAACAGGGAGCCATGTTAGAATTTTGATTTGAATCTAGCTGATGGAACAACACAACCCATCCTAAATCCAGCCAAATGCAAATGAAGTCTAACAACCCTTATATTCCACTTTGTTGAGGTCCTGTTTTTGTTTAAAGTTGTGTCAGAAGGATAACTATGCCACTGGGGTTTGGCGCCACATTGGCCTTGGACGACTCGCCAAGCTTCCTTCTTAAAATACCTTGAGGTTAATAGTGAGGTGTTGGTCTTGGATAACTAAGGCTAGGTCTCCGACTTAAAATAGCCCTGGTGTCTCAGCTGTTGCCTTTTAGAAAAGTAAATGAGCATTCACCAATGGAAACAGGTAATTCTCGAAGTCTCTGGTACAAATGGATGAGCACATGAATGACCGTACAGTGTATGATCCTGATTTGAAAATGTGAAGTTACAAGTGGAGTTTAAAGACAACCCTACAGTTGAGAAATTTCATGCAAAGAGGAGAGAGGAGCTCAAGGCTGGGAGCTGATGATTCTATCTTCTCTTCTTTCCCGTTGTTTGTTGGACTGACACTGCTGGGGCATACTTGGTTTGGGCCAGCTTGTTGATGTAATATAGATCCAGCAGGGAGAAGATGAAGCTGGGTAAACAAGAAATGGCACGCAAGGATTGACGGGGAGTGAAAATACAAGTCATTGTGGCGAACCAAGACTAATGAGCCAGTTCGGTATTTCAAATATCCAAGGTCTTTTGGGAACACAAGAGTGTGAGTCAGCATGTGAGTCAGCGTGTGAGTCAGCACGTGAGTCGATGTGTGAGTCAGCACGTGAGTCAGCGTGTCAGTCAGCGTGAGTCCGCGTGTCAGTCAGCGTGTGAGTCAGCGTATGGCTGCGCTGATTGGAAAGATTATCGCGATCATGCGTAGCTGTTCCCAAATGGCCTTGTGCTGGGCGTGCGCTGTTGGAATACCCAACTGGCCCATCAAATGTGGCATTTGGTCAGTTGTTGAGTGTGATGTTGTGGAGAGAAAAATACGACCAGATCTAATAAAAATGAGTCTCTATAACACCGTGTTTATTCACTAATTTTGTTTTAGTTTACTTTACCAAAAAAAAACAACAAATTGAGCTCTTCGTTTTGGTTGGTCTGTCCGCCTTGCTCCTGATGAAAATCGAAAAATGGGTGAATAACATTGAGGGATGACAATGATTTATACTGTGACAGATTCTTTGGAAGGTATATAACTGGGAACTGGTGACTTCGGACTTAATTGTTGGGCCACGAGAAGAGCTCCACTGAGCTGGATGTTTCCAACTCTTCAACCAAATTCTCAAAATATACAAAGAGATGATCCCAACATCTAAAAAAAACTCCTTGGCTAGAGGATCAATACTGAGAAAGCAGACTCACCATGTGGTGACACACACCCGGTGAACAAGCCCAGAAGCAAACATGGCGATGCCGAGGCACAGGACCACTGCAAACATTAACAAGCACATGGAGTTCCTCAAGTAAGGCATGAATCGTGCATCATCGAAAGTTGGGAGAAAATAAATCGTTTTGTCCCAGCAACTAGCATCGATTTGATTCGCTTGACAGTATTTCAGAAACAGGCCATGGTCACATGGTGAGTATTGGGAGCTTCCATACTCCTCTATCCCAACTCCACCCCCTCCCCCGTACCACCTGCTGAAGAAAAAGTGCCATTCTCATTTCTGAAACTTTCCACTGCAGTTCATTACTCCTTTATATTACTACAGCCAAGTGTTGTTGTTTTATGATGAACACACAAATCTTGGCACATCTACTCTGTATGTTAATGGTACACACTCTCGTCCTATAAAACTCCTATACAGGTTTTTCGTGTGACGTAACATGACGGGCAAAGGCATTTCAGGAAGCATAGAGGTTTCATGTCTGTGGAGGTGCATACATTTTCAAATCTGGGAATTTCTACCGCCAATTTCATATATGCCAGAATGTTGAGAGCCTTTGAAGGCGTGTACTTTTCAAAAATCATAAGACTGAAAATCCTCTATCATAGACAGTGCACCACATCTGTGGTAAACTCTGGTATGGAAATACATACCCTGATCAGTGTAACCAGACACCACAAAAACAAAGCAGCTATGTCATTCCTTTGAAGGGATTAAATGAGTACTTACCTGTTTGAAATTTAATCCCAATTTTATGAGAAAGGGCGAGCAAGAGATAACGTGAGATTCCAGCCAAGCACATGCCCAGTCATATTTGAAAACTGGGATATGAGGTTAGATGAAAAACTTTATCCCAGTTACAACTGAAAAGATCAATGAGAACTTGTCCTAAAATGCCTAATGGTAGAGAAATAGGGTGGGAGGGCAGGGCACGTAATCTCTCGCTCACCCTTTCTCATAAAATTGGGATTCAATTTCAAACAGGTAAGTTCTCATTTAATCCCTTCATTCTATTTCCAAATCTCACGAGAGATTCCATGAGATCTTGAAAGGCATCTGGCTGCATATCCAGTACGGAGTCTGTATAGGGAGATTCTTCTAGAAAGTTAACTAGCTTTGGCATAAGATAACACTTCACAAAGCCAAGTTCATGTGATTTCGTGGTACAGTAGTGTTTTTATACAGCCGGTAAACCTCGACACGAGGCTTTCATCTGTACCAAACTGTTAGAGAAAGTACAACTTTTCTTTCAATGCTTAAAAGCAGCTGCTTCATTAATTAGCACCAAACATTGATGACAACTGTCTTTAACTACCTACATGTACCCGGGCTCCTATCAAGTCTTGGTCACTGTATACTTGTTTGGCGTTCACAGCCAACTAAAGCACTCGTATAAGGATTGCTTTCTGTAACATGATATATCAATCAGGCAATTCCAAGTTAAGACATGTACATGGTGGGTTACAAGATAACTGAAATCGCAAAATACACGTCCAATATTTGATGAAGCTAAAGGGGCCAATATTTGCCTTCTCGCCAGAGGTTATGATGTACATCATCAGCATTGGACCGTGGTAATGCTCTTGAAGTACCCTAGGAACTGCCAACATATGAGAAACATTTGGTCAATAACAATACATGGACGGAACTATGCACGGGCATTCCATGCGAGTCATTTAAGCACAACTGTTAAGCAATGCATGTCCCATTTCCTGAGGTGCACCGAGTAGTTTGTTGTAGAGCTTCTGAAAGGTGGTCTCTGAAGACCAACCTGCAGTCTGACGGATATCAGGGATTGGCACTCCTGTTTGCAGCGGATGCGGCAGCTGTTCAGGTGGAGTGAGCCTTGAAGCATGAAGTGTCCACACCCGCTTAAGGCAACACTATATTTATCCATCTTAAGACAGAGTCCTTACTGACAGCACCATGCGGGAGCCTGTAACTGATTAGATGCTGGTTTTCTTTGCTTTGATCCCGATTCCTGAGCAAACTGAAACTGGTTCATGCCAGGTAGTATTTGAGGTAGGTGTGCACACACAGTTGTCTGCCAGGGGGGGGGTTTAAGTTTAATGATCATTCCAGTGTTCCCTGGTTTACTTTACTTGAGCAGATCCCGGATGGTGAAGATGGTAGAGCTGGCTTTCAACTGCATCTTGTCCAGGTGTAGATTGTGTAACGTCTGCGTCAAGAATGTCACAATTTCTACTGCATCTGCCTACAGAGGATTTGTTTTCCTCGCACTGCGAAAATCAAGCCATTGCTCAAAGTATCGTTGCCTTCTGCTCCTCATGGAGTTCTTTTACCTGTTTCCCAAGTCATCGCCAAACAACCACTGTGTCACCTTTGTTGACGGTCTGCGCAGGTGGGCATATTTTTGGTTCAGGTCTGGCTTGATGAGCTCCTTGCAGAGACTATTCAGCTCAAAATTGGCCAAAGCCAGAAGAGCGAGACCATCTTCCTGTTCAGTGGTTAATGGATCCTTAAAGGCACAAGTGAGAGTAGTGACCTCCTTTATGAGGGGTTTCTGCACTCTTTGAAGCTTCATGTCTCTGGAGCAGGTTTTAGCTGAGATATTGTCCCAGATTTGTGGGTTTACTTTGGGCACTGCTGAAGCCTCACAGTTACTGGGGCGCTGATATATGTCTGCAGTGTCATTCAGATTCTTTTCTACCAGTTTTTCTGTTAGAAGGAAAGTTCGGCTGTTCGCTATGTCCTCCTTAACCCTCCTATGCTG